GCAAGGTAGTAAAGCCACTAAGACACAAAGGGTTACAGAGTGTGGAAGAATGAGGAACAGAAACTTTAATAATGAGTCGGAAGAGAAAAGAGTAATCAGGGGGACGGTAGCAATTGACATTGCATTTAAATCTTCACAGATTAAAGTTGAGGCCAGAAGGGAGTTCCACAAGCGATAAGTTCGAGAAAAGAAACTGTTAGCAAAGAACTACATTTAGCCAGCTCACCTGTAAATTGATGAGATCTCGACGCCAGTTTAATACTGAGCTTAAAATCAAAAAGTCTTCATAATAGCGAAGAGCGATATTTATTAGCAAAAATGCAGAACGTGGCACAAGGCCAAAAGGGGAATAGGGAAATGGACGGTCTTCATCTATCTTAACATTAAACTTAGCTACCTACAAACACTGACCCAAACATACCACATTATTCCTGACACCAAAACAACGCTTTCTTACTTACCTTTCTTACTATCAGGTCATCCCATAAGTTCTGTCTGAATTTTAGCTTTTTGTTAAAATGAATGAAATTTAAAGAGTATTTTATAATGTCTAATGGAGCTGAACATTATTTTTATGTTTAGATGCATTTAAACTGATCAAATTTTGTTTCAGAGAACAATAAAATAAAATTTTGTTTGATTAAAACCCTGCTAACATGCAAGTCCACAAGAATCATTTGAGGCACATAATGCTTTATGAGTTCAAGAAAGGAAACTCAGCAGCCGAAGCGGTTAGAAACATTCACTCAGTTTATGGAGAGGAATGTGTGAATGAAAGAACTTGCAGAAGATGGTTTGAGATTTCAGAGGTGGAGATTTCACCCTTGAAGATGAAGATTGAACCGGACGTCCAGTTGAGTTTGATGGAAAGCTTCTTGAAGCAGCCCTTGAAGAAAATCCTGCTTTATCAGTTGAGGCAGTGGTTCTCAGTTCAAACCATACAACTGTTCATCGTCATTTTCAACAACTTGGAAAAGTTCATAAACTTAGAAAATGGGTGCCACGTGAATTGTCTGAAAACAACCTCAAATCCCGAGTTGACATCTGCTCTTCTCTCCATTCTCACCAACTTGTTTCACCTTTTTTGGATAGACTGGCGACGAAAAATGGATCTTTTATCGAAATGTTAAGCGTCCTAGACAGTGGCTTGGTAAAGGGGAAGGACCCCAGCCACAACCGAGAAGGGAACTTCATGGGAAAAATTCTTCTTTCAATCTGGTTGGATCGCCAAGGAATAATCCACTTTGAATTCTTACCACCTAATGCAACAATTAATGCTCAAATATACTGTCAGCAATTAGAGCATTTGAACCAAGCTTTGAGGAAAAAAGACCTGCTCTAGTGAATCGAAAAGTGGTGATGTTTCATCAAGACAATGCGCGACCCCACACAGCAAGAATCACGTCACAAAAGATCGAAGAACTTGGTTGGGAAAAAAATTCCTCATCCACCTTATTCTCCCGATCTTGCTCCTTCAGACTACCATTTGTTTCATAGCTTACAGAATCATTTGGCCGAAACAGCTTTTGTAATACAGGAAGAGGTTAAAACTGACATTTGTGAGTTCTTCAAATCAAAGCCAAAATAATTTTACAGTAATGGAATTAGTAAGCTTGTTAATAGATGGAAGGAAGTCATAGATAATCAGGGAAAATACATTGTTGATTGAATCTGTAATTAAATGTAACATATGGTCACTTGTTTTCTTTATTCAAAATTCGGACAGAACTTATGGGATGACCTGATACATTCACCATAATACCACATTGTCTCTATGAAAGTCCTAACTAGTCCCCATATGTACAATTCATTGTCTGTGGGGGGAGGTGAATAAAATAACAATACCGAAGAGCTGACTCGAATAATTGCTATGAACGTATTTATAGAAAAGACACATAGAGGCAAACCTATGGCTGTGGGAAAGAAAGTGTCAACTGCATATCAATTGTTAAGAGTGTGACTGCCAATAATGAACTTTGAACTCAGGTAGGATTTAATATTCTCAGGATCGCTTGTTGACAATGCCTCCCCCCGTAAAAATGAATCCAAAAATATTAATAATGGTTGACAATTCTTCATCAATTTATATTATTTCCATTGTTCGGACAGTTTTCCTCATTTTTCATTTCACATTCACAACGTTACGACCGTTCTATGCTCCGGCCTTCTTCAGGTGAATTTTTTTGAAATTTCGAACCGAACCCTTTATTTAGTCCACGGGGGAGGGTAGATTGATCTAATTCCACTAACTTTTGGATATCTCAGTTTTAGTTAATTCGCCTTGATAACTCTCCACCTTTTTGTTATCTCCGCTGAGACCAGGGATTGAACTCACAGTTCTTTGGGTCAGGTCACATTTTAGACCAATCAACCAACGCTTTTATCCACTAGATCATGTATTCCAACAAATATCACCTGAAGAGAACCGGAGCGTAGAACGGCTGAAACGTCGTGAATGTGACAATAAAGACGAGGACAACAGTCCGAACAATGGAAATAGCGAAAATAGTTACAATACCTCATCTCCGAAATATAGACAAATTCTTTATCAATAGTAATAGATAGTTTGCCTATCGCCCGGTTCACCCTCCTCCCTAGTCATTTAAACAGAGGTAGAGGTTTATCCCTTGTTTCTTGTTTAGGATTGGGTTTCTGGTTCCTTTAAAAAAAAAAAAGTCTGCTTCAGTCTCCTAATGCGTGTCTTTTCCTACGCTAAAATAATTTCACACAGTAACCCTCTATCTTGAGTGGCTCTTGGGGCTTGTATTGTGTGGATATTATTAAAAGCAAATAATGAAAGAGAATAGGAAATTAAATACTCGTCTTTTTCAGGACTTCCTAGAAAGGAAAAACCGTGTTAGAAGTTCACTAATAAAATTGATAAGGCTTGAGAGGGTGGATTACCTGGACGATCATCAAAGTAGATAATTTTGATATGCAAAACATGATAAGAAGATAAATTATTACTAATATACGTGACAGTGAAAATTAGTCATATTAACCTTTGGAGTGGCTACCAATCAGCAGTAATCGTTTGTGCGTGGGAGTATTGAAAAGTTAGAAATACACTCAAGTTAGGTAACGCAGTTTGTTCAGATGGTCTCTGATTGTGGGGTATTTGAGATGTACTTCCTATGTTTCCTTGGTTGCCTCAGTCATCATACTTAAAAACAAAAAACGCCTTCTAGACACCCAGCAATGATTCCCCAATCCTGGTCATAAAAAGAGATGCACAATATGTCATATCCTAAGGGACATACCCAAATAGTCACGGTCAAGTAATTAACAAGCAAATATGTGATACAAGAATGAAATATTTACTGTCCATCTTAATCCCCCAATACAAAACATGTACATATTATCACCTCCAATTAATTAAGATCCACAGCCACGAGAACCATGCCTGGTGTAACATCAAGTGCATTTTTTCATTATTATTACTATTTTTCTTATTATTATTATCATATTAGTAATTGTTGACTTACATTGCAGCTTAAGTGACAGCATGTGATCTCACGGCTCCAGCACCCTCCACAGTATTCTAGCTGTTTTCAATGACACTGCGATTTCTCAGTCTTCTTTTAATTTCCCATTTCTCGCGTCTCTTCCTACACACTTCTGGACATTTCCAGGTGCTCTGATAACGAGTGGAATGACTGTAACGTTCCACAATTACTTCAGCTCCCTGACAAGGTGTAGGTACTTATCTAACTTTTAACTTTCCTTCAGGTCTGTTCTTTGGGGAACCTTGTATTAAGAATTTCAAATATATATATATATATATATATATATATATATATATATATATATATATATAATAAATATAAAGGAAATATGTTGTGGTTCCAACGAGAGAAAAGTATGTATATTAAAAAAGAAGAGGGTGCCGCAAACGTTTTTGGTTGTAATGTGGATTTATTGAGAAAAATATTATACTTTGTTTTACATAATTTCACGACACGTGTTTCTGGTCTGGTCTCGCAACCGTCTTCAGGTGAAAGTGGAGATTTTTTATATTATTAAAATAATTAATTTTTTCTTCATGTTCAATGTGGAATATTCTCGATATGAGACATTCTGTTTGTGTGTTATAATCCGAATTTTCTTTCTAGAATTGTCAATGAAGAGTTCTGCGTGAAGGGTCATAAAACAATTAAGGTTTGTCCAGCGAGTAGTTATCGGCATTTAATCTTTTAATGTTTTAGTGACCTCTATGTGCTCTTGGATCTGTTTCTATTTTGGCGTGTTCCTGTCAGCATGCGTGTATATATGCGTGCGTATATTTCCTTACTACGAGGAATTCGTAAACTTATTTGTACTTATACACGCATACATATATATATATATATATGTGCTCTCGTATGTTTCTTACGCCTTAAACTAAGTTTCTACGTTACATATACCCGCATAACACCTTCATTGTTATATTCACGACGTTTCAGTCATTTTATCGTTCGGGCTTCTTCAGTTGTCTGTCTTCGTATTCAGTAAACGTCATGAATTTTTTAACACTTTATTCAATCTATGGTAATGGCTTAATTCCGCTTTTCAACGTTATGCCTTTTCCTGTCAAGGCATTCAACCCAACGCTTCTCCATAGAATATTATATAATGAAAAATTCAAATTCAGTGAATAAATATGCATTCAGGCGACTGAATTATTGATCCATCTCGCACAGATAGACGAATGTGAACAGAAGGTTACTGGTTTTCGCAATAAAATCAAACAACCACCTGTTCATATATATATATATATATATATATATATATATATATATATCGATGTATGCATGTATCTATCTATATATGTATCTCTAATTATGTCTATTTAGTTTTGTTTCTTCCTATCTATCTATTTATGTACTTATCAATCTCAGCCTTTTCCTATCTCTCTCTCTCTCTCTATCTATCTATCTATCTATATATATATATATATATATATATATATATATATATATATATCATCACAGTCTGTTCATATCTAATCGCATTTTGCTCAGATCTATCTATCTCTCACAGCATGTCCATGCATATCTATTTTAGTCTTTTCATATCTGTCTACGTATCTATCTATCTATCTATCTATCTATCTATCTATCTATCTCAGCTTGTTCATATCTATCTACCTATCTCTCTCTCTCTCAGCTTGTTCATATCTATCTACCTATCTATCTATCTCAGCTTGTTCATATCTATTTATGTACGTATATATCTCTCTCAACTTGTTCATATCTATCTATCTATCTATCTATCTATCTATCTCAGCCTACACATACCTCTTTCTCAATATCTATCTTCCGCTCTGGCTATTTACCATATTTTATATCTTCTTCCCCTTTATATTGCTTTCCTATCACTCTTATTCTCTCTCACCGTCCTCCTCTCTCTCTCTCTCTCTCTCTCTCTCCCTCTCTCTCTCCCTCTCTCTCTCTCTCCCTGACCCACTCTATCTATCTATATATCTCTTTTGAACTTTTTTCTTTCTCTTTCTCTCGCTTCTTTATACCTATATTTCAATCTTCTTCATTTTTTTCTTCTCATGTTCTGTTTCCTTTCTACCCTCTTACTTTTCACCCAATTCCCGCCACTTCATCCCCAAACCCTTCTCCTTGTCAGTCATCCATTATGACTATATTCTTCTCTTCCTTCTTATGATAACAATCGACCCTTATTTTTCAAGGAACTTATTCAACACCTTGACTCGACACCTACACTAACCCCATTTTTAGCTGTCAGACAAGCGTTTTATCATCATTATCATTTGAGACATGCTAAACTTTACGGGAAATATTTTCAACTATAAAATAAATGCTTCGGCCCACAAACAGCAAAATCCTTTACTGTTTTTATTCTGCTTTTACTTGTGTCTTTTTTTTTTTTTTTTTTTTTGGTGTGGGAGTATATTTTCCCAGCAAATTCTGTGCCATTTTCATGACTTTTACTGCCGCAGAAGACATTATCAGAAACAATACAAGATAACACTTTACCAAAGCCTAAAGCGTTCCGTCCTGGGTAAGACGATAAATTACATCCGCGTTCTGGGTAAGACGTTAAGCTACGTCCAACGGCAAGGCCTCTGATCAGGAGGTTTTGAGGAGCGTGGAACGACCTCTTAATTGCTGGTATTCACAGGTCCATCCTAACCCAGAGTGGTAGCACCTGTTTGAGTCCCAACTATGGGCAAATAGTTAACCCCCAAACTGGAGCTAAAATAATAATACCAGCAATAAATTTTTTGAGGAAAAATTACCATCAATACATTATTAACTTGAAGAAAAATATTACCAGCAATAAAAATCTTGTCGGCATTAAATAACCCATTGAGGTTGATATGCCGAAAACAAAACAAACCAAATCATACCTAAAGCGTTCATTTAAAGCACAAAAAATCGTTTACAATAAATTCTTTGCTGGTTGGTAGTATTCGTTTAGCAGCTCTATGGGTTATATAATGCTGAAATCTAAATATTTTTAAACAATTTTATTTTATTTTTTGGAAATAATGATGGCTTAATGATACAAATCCAACTAATTAACCCATAGCAGGGGGAAGATGCGCGTAAGTGAATATAACGAATCCAACGGGAATTGGAACTCGGCTCTCTGATTAACAATTCCGAGTTATCAACCACCAGCTATTACACCAGCCGCAAAACCAGACAGTCACCCATTTAGGTACTGACCAGGCTCAACGTTGCCTAACTTCGGCGATCACAGGGGAACCGGTGTTTCAACGTGTTGTGGCCGTAAGCCGACAACGACGTGTGCTAATTTAATTATAGAAAACTTTCCAAATATCTGTTACGGGCTTTAACAGCGGCATAAAACACATGAACATACTCGTAATAGATAGATAGATAGATAGATAGATAGATAGATAGAAAGAAAGAAAGAAAGAAAGAAAGAAAAGATGACCTACAATCTGTTGTTAACTGGGGCAAGAAATTTTAACGCTCCAATATGACATTGCTCTCTTTTAATCATCTGAGAGAACCTATTTTGCTTCCCATCAGCATGGCTGATGTTAACCTTCAGGAGAGTGGCTCATTGCACCTTCTCAGGCTAACGTTTTCCGACTGAAAAATTATATTGAATCTATTGCTAGGTCTCCTGCTAGGAAAGCTGGTTCACTGTATCGTGCTAGACATTTTTTTCTAGCCAGAATCTATCTTACATATTTATGTCTACCATTCGTCCTTACTTGGAATATTGCCGGATATCTGGTCAGATGCTTCTGCTATATATTTAGAAATTTTTGATAACATGCAAAGAAGAATCTGCAATGTTAACGTCTCTGACCTGGCACTCGGATTCAGTCATTTCCCCCACTGCCATAATGTAGTTTCCCTGTGCCTTTTCTATAAATATTTTCATGGAAATTATTCTGATGAATTTTCCTCTAGACTTTGTGAATTTAAGCACAGATTGGTGACAAGGTTTCTTCACTTTATAGTTGAAATGACTAGATTTAATCGTCAGTTCTATATTAACAGTTTCTTCTCTCGAACTTCTTGCTTGTGGAACTCTCTTCCAGCTTCTTGCTTCCCAATCAGATTTGGTCTTCAAAAATTTAAATGCAATGCCAATGGTTATCTTCTGTCCTCTTAATTCTTGATCTTTTATTGTCCACTCTCATTAATAGATTTTTCTCATATTCCCTCACACTCAGTCACCCCTTGCGTCTTAGTGTATTTATTACCTTGCTTGGAATGAAATGATTAAAAAAGATAAATAGATAGATATGAACAGAATAAAATAGATAGATAGATAGATATGAACAGAATGAGATAGATAGATAGATAGATAGATAGATAGATATGAACAGAATGAAATAGATAGATAGATATGAACAGAATGAGATAGATATGAACAGAATGAAATAGATAGATAGATAGATATGAACAGAATGAGATAGATAGATAGATAGATAGATAGATATGAACAGAATGAGATAGATATGAACAGAATAAAATAGATAGATAGATAGATATGAACAGAATGAGATAGATAGATAGATAGATAGATAGATAGATAGATAGATAGATAGATAGATATGAACAGAATAAAATAGATAGATAGATAGATAGATATGAACAGAATGAGATAGATAGATAGATAGATAGATAGATAGATAGATAGATATGAACAGAATGAAATAGATAGATAAATATGAACAGAATGAGATAGATATGAACAGAATGAAATAGATAGATAGATAGATATGAACAGAATGAGATGAGATAGATGGATAGATGAACAGAATGGGATAGATATAACAGAATAAAATAGATAGATAGATAGATATGAACAGAATGAGATAGATAGATAGATAGATAGATATGAACAGAATAAAATAGATAGATAGATAGATATGAACAGAATGAGATAGATAGATAGATAGATAGATATGAACAGAATGAAATAGATAGATAGATATGAACAGAATGAGATAGATATGAACAGAATGAAATAGATAGATAGATAGATATGAACAGAATGAGATAGATAGATAGATATGAACAGAATGAGATAGATATGAACAGAATAAAATAGATAGATAGATAGATATGAACAGAATGAGATAGATAGATAGATAGTAGATATGAACAGAATAAAATAGATAGATAGATAGATAGATATGAACAGAATGAGATAGATAGATAGATAGATAGATAGATAGATAGATATGAACAGAATGAAATAGATAGATAGATATGAACAGAATGAGATAGATATGAACAGAATGAAATAGATAGATAGATAGATAGATAGATATGAACAGAATGAAATAGATAGATAGATAGATAGATAGATAGATAGATAGATAGA